ACGAAAATTAAGTCCGAGACAACGGGGAAATCGACACACAGAGGATAAACAGACTGAGCTAGGGGGAACGACCATTCTTTCTCTTTGAATTTCTGACTTTTTAAAGGATCTCTCCCTTAAATTCTTAATGCGATCGCTTAATCAATTTGACACGTCCGTTCGACTTGGTCCGCGAGTGTTGATCCAGCTTTGAAACTTTCGCTCGTACCTCTCGTGCCATGATATTTTATTTCCTGACGGCTGAGAAATTTTTTTACTTACAAGGCGACAATTTTGCTTTGGGAGGAATGCTACATTTATTTCCAAATTTATTGTCATTTTAGACCCATAAATTCCCATTGTCGTCCGTCCGTCCGTATGTCTTAACCTCGAGAACGGAGTTATATGAAATCCGAGACAAAATATGGAAACCTTAAGGGCAGGAAACCCCGATTTGCTATATAACAACTTCCGAAAGTCACTTTACGTCAATTCAAAACTTCCCCCCGAAAGGTGTTAGATAGACGACTCTATTGTTAAAGGAAAAGTAAGTATGATGTACTGTACAGGGGCAAACCACTACTATTTTTAGGTGAAAAGCATGTATTTTAAATTAAATTAATTAAAAATATGATTAAGAATTACAGCCCGGCATTGTGACTATGTCACAATAAAGAATTGCTCGTAGTTATCGTTTGTTTGTGAAAGCTTTGGTTTGCACTTGTGAAAATATTTACGATAAAAACCACATTTTGATGTTTGTCGTGTTATGAAGCAGAATATCCAAGTTAAAATCATTCTGAGAGGTAAAAAGGAGTTAATAATTGTAGGAAATGACATTTTTTCGTTAAAAATAAACAGAGAAAACATGCCAGTAAGTGCAAGAGGCTGATATGTAGAAACTACACTATTAAGATGTGTACAAATTGTGCACTATATCCATCGTTGTGGATAACAAAAGTGTATTAAGACGAACTTACCTTTTGTTCGTTATGTTGGAGACGCTGAAGTCGTGAGCGCGAATAGGGACCAATTTGAGATGCATTTTTAATTACGGATAATTATATGTATAACTGTACACTGGCATCGAAAAATCTGTTAGATTGACACTGTTTCTCATTTCTATAGTTGTTTCAAGACTCTCATGTGATCGAAAGTTATCAAACATTAATAATAAAAGTGTTGTTGCGAGCAGAGCATATAAGAAAATTTGTCTTTGTTGGAAAAGAACAAGCATTTTTAATTGTATCGTATTTTTTAAAACAAATTATGTGTGAAGATTTTTTGTTTATGGACATAAATTGTCATGTGAAACGATTAATTCTACAGCTGNAGACGATCTTTTTAAATTCTACGTCTCGAGGCTTGACCATCTCCGAAATTCGTTCGAATAAATATCTTTTTCGTCCATTTTCGACCATGGCACGAAATAAATCAAATTCTTAGGATTTCGCTTTGCGGAAAGATTCGTCGGTCGCCACGGGTTTCGCCTATTAATGCAACATCAAACTGGATAAAGTTAATATTAAAAATACCGAAAAACCTTTATAAAATACGGCCGAACGAAAATTAAGTCCGAGACAACGGGGAAATCGACACACAAAGCATAAACAGACCGAGCTAGGGGGAAACAACCATTCTTTCTCCTTGAATTTCTGATTTTTTAAAGGATCTCTCCCCTAAATTCTTAATGTGATCGCTTAATCAATTTGACACGTCCGTAAGTGTTGATCCAACTTTGAAACTTTCGCTCGTACCTCTCATGCCATGATATTTTATTTCCTGATCGCTGAGAATTCTTTTTACTTACAACGCGACAATTTTGCTTTGGGAGGAATACTACATTTATTTCCAAATTTTGTCGTTGTAGATCCATAAATTCCCACTGTCGTCCGTCCGTATGTCTTAACTTCGAGAACGGAGTTATATGAAATCCGCGACAAGATATGGAAACCTTAAGGGCAAGAGACCCCGATTAACTATATAACAATTTCCGAAAGTCACTTTACGTCAATTCAAAACTTTCCTCCCGAAAGGTGTTAGATAGACGACTCTATTGTTAAAGGAAAAGTAAGTATGATGTACTGTTTAGGGGCAAACCATTACTAATTTAAGGCGAAGAGCATGCATTTTAAATTAAATTAATTAAAAATATGATTAAGAATTGCAGCCCGGCATTGTGACTATGTCATAATAAAGAATTGCTCGTAGTTATCATTTGTTTGTGAAAGCTTTGGTTTGCACTTATGAAAATATTTACGATAAAAACCACATTTTGATGTTTGTCGTGTTAGGAAGTAGAATATTGAAGTTTAAATTATTCTTAGAGGTAAAAAGGAGTGAATAATTGTAGGAAATGACATTTTTTCGTTAAAAATAAATAGAGAAAACATGCCAGTAAGTGCAAGAGACTGATATGTAGAAACTACATAATAAGATGTGTACAAATTGTGCACTATATCCATCGTTGTGGATAACAAAAGTGTATTAAGACGAACTAACCTTTTGTTTTATATGTTGGAGACACTGAAGTCGTGAGCGCGAATAGGGACCAATTTGAAATGCATTTTTAATGACGGATAATTATATGTATACATTATGTATAAAAATCTGTTAGATTGACACTGTTTCTCATTTCCATGGTTGTTTCAAGACTGCCATATGATCGAAAGTTATCAAACATTAATAATAAGTGTTGTTGCGAGCAGAGCATATAAGAAAATTTGTCTTTGTTGGAAAAGAACAAGCATTTTTAATTGTATCTTATTTTTTAAAACAAATTATGTGTGAAGATTTTTTGTTTATGGACATAAATTGTCATGTGAAACGATTAATTCTACAGCTGAGATGTGGGGAAAATTATATTTTGACGCATAAGGCTAGACTAATAATACACACTGAGAAAATTTGAAGTAACTGTTGTTTGCAAACGTATGAAAATTGGGAACATATGTTCTTTCACTGCATCAAGTTTGAAACAAATAGAAAAAGCTGGAAACATATAATTAATTTATCGCGTTTTTCAAAAACTGATTACTTTTGTGTACATTATTTTTTGTTATTCTGTACTAAGCTATTTAACTAATTAGTGAAATTTTACTAATTACAGATTTACATAATATGTATAGAAATGATTAGTATTGTGTGTTATTGTGTAATACTAAGCTATTATATTAATTTGTTAAATTGCACTAACTTCATTTTTTATGTACTTTAATCCCCTTGTAATAAACTAAGGTCCATACAATAAAGAATTAAATTAAACTAAATATTCGTAAGATTATTAAGTTTAAATTTAATTTCGAAATGCGATGCGCTTGAAAGTTTGGCGTGTGTCGGGACTTGAATTGTGCCTTAACGGCGCAACAGGTAAATTCAACAGGGCGAAATGCTTTCGGGTGGGAACATTGGACGTATTCCAGGCATGTGTCATTAATCAGATTTGACCATCAGCTAAAGAGGCATGTGCTTGTGGTGTAGCGGTTATCACATCCGCCTAACACGCGGAAGGTCCCAGGTTCGATCCCTGGCAGGCACAAGGTGGTTTTTTTTACATTTCGGAAAGTTTCTCGGATTTTTGAATGATTCGTTTCGTTTCGTTTCGTTTCGATCCGTTCGTCGTTTCGTAGACGGCCCTTTTAGTTTTGAGCCAATTTACCGAGATGCATTTCACTTGCTTGCAAAAACCTCCGCGCTTTCTCAAAGTCGCTCGAATTCCTAATTAAAGTAGCCTGATGAAGACCTCGATGATGTTGAAAACGTTTGCTAAGGTGTAAACACACACCACTGGAGCTGTAAAGATTGTTTGAAGTGCTGACTATTATTGTACATTTTCTATTTTGAATGATTGCTGTGGTGTAGAATGGCTATTCGGTAAATACGAAAGGATATGTGTAAAAAATCAAAATGGAAATTTTAAAACATAGAATTTGTGTAATCAAAATCAGGAAATTGCGAGAGCCGGATGGCTCAAGTGTCTGTTAAGTTATGGCAACGCAACACTTGGGCTATCTGATCTGCCTAGGAGGGGATGCCTTCCGGGAGGCCTTTTTAAAGGAAACTGGTCCCTATTTAGGAGTTACAGACGTGGAGAAAACCTGAAAAACTTAACGTGGCCAGCCCGTCCGAGCGAGGCGCGAACCCACAACCGAACTCCCAGCGTTCAAGATACGAAGACCGCTTAACCACTGGTGGACCCGCTGAAGCATCAAATGCGTTAATATACCGCGCTGAAGATCCAGGATCGAATCCAGACTAGCCACTTAAAAATATTTTTTGGGCGGTCTGAATGAAGTTGCGCTCTTTTACTCATTTTAAACCACACGACGAATCCGAACTTTTGTGCTTGTTAAAAATTAAACAGTTTGGTTAAAAAATTTTCCCATACCGTCCTTCACCTCCCGATCTCTCCATTATGACCTTGATAAAAACCCATATTTCTATTAATGCTCATAGAGCGAAATTGCCTCCGAAAAAATTACCTCGTCGTAGGACCATAGATGACAATCAGTGCCATCTTAACGCAAGAACACGCAGGGCAGTTGCCTAGGACTCTCACGCTAATTTATTCACAGACCAGAATTTAACACTAATTTTCCGATCACCTGCTAATTGTATAGACAGGGTCCCGTGTAACGCTTTACCCACGGACCCATAATGCTGTTAAGACGGACCCGATGACTGCTGATTTTACACGACGCATTGTAAACTGCAATAAAAGAATGAATATGGCAGTGACAACACAGAAATAACTATTATTTTACGAAACATACTACTGAATGAAGTTGCGACCTTTAATTCAATTGACAAATGATAAATCCTTTTACAATTGAGTAAATAAGATGCGGTTTTTCTCTCCTCTTCTTATGAAATTTAGAAATACTTCCCGAATTTTTATTGCTTCGCTAAACATTACAGATAATTGGAAATTCTTTCCGCATCTCTTGAAATTTGAATTACTGTATCTAGTTCTCGAAACGGACGCTAAAGAGCGCTGCGATCGAGGAAAAATAAAAATTTTTTTTAGTCGGTAGTTAAGTGGTCGGGTGTCGATGTCGAGCGCTTTCGTTGCAGAAAGCTTTAATTAGTCATCTGTTTTCTGCAGTTGTTTAAAAGTGGAATGTAAACAAGTCGGGTTAAGGCCAGAAATTTCGTTCTTTCAATAGTTATCGAGACGCTCGTCTCTTTAAAGCAGGTTTCAAATTATCATCTTTCCCATCATGTCTGAATTAAGGAGAAGAACTCAAGAAGAGAAAGTCGATTCTAACGTTAATCAGGTGATTTTTTTCTCTTAATATATAATAACAATAACTTTCATGTTTTAAATAAAATCGGCTTTATTGTGCAGTTAGAATCGTAGAAATTTATTCCAGATGAAGCAATTTTTAATTAGCTATTTTCGTCAATCAATATTTCGTCATGGATCTTGCATAATTAGGGAAATTCATTTACCATACATTATTTCCATTTGCGCCTTATCCTACCGGCAAAAAGGAAAACTGCCCGGGGCCCCACAGAAAGGAGGCCCCAAACCAATCATTTATAAGAGTATTTCTCCCAGAAATGAAGTGGAAAAAATCAATGGTGTGTTTAAGACCCCTTAATTCAAATTGGCCTTGGTCCCGTGAAGGTACAATACACCACTGATTATTTTGAAACATGATAAAGTTTCAACCCTTAATTAACTCCTTATAAATTGTGTAAAAAATGGAATGTTTGCACGATAAGTAGACCTGCGACATATTATGTATATGATTAATTAAACAATTGCTAATCAAATACAAATGCTATTTTCTCGTATGTACGGTTTTATAGAATGCCTGAGGTAATTCGAATTATCTACAAGTATATTTATTCATCACTTATTTAATATACATATTATTGGAATTGTCAGTTGACAAAAGATTTCCATCCCCCAAATAACATAATTTACCCCAAAATACAATAAAATACAATCAAAAATAACAAAAGAGAAAAACAAATTTAAAAAATGATAAAAATTATATTTGTTTTCATTCATTTTTATTGCTCTATTATCAATTATTGTTTATATATGATTGACATTGACATGTATTTCTTATAACCAGTCTTTTGTTGTTGATGTTATTTTATGCTTTGTGGCTTGTAAACTAACACCTTCACACTGGCATTCATTGTTATTATTGAATTATTTCATTGTGTTCTGATGTTTCTAAATTTATGAATTGCAATTTGATTATTTAGTTACTAAATGAATAATGCTGACAAAATATTTTATTTTTTTAATTTTTTAAAAATTAATATTATATTTTAAAGTGAATCAATAATAATATATTTTTTGTTTTTAAAACAATATAAATTTTAAAGGTAAAGTTTATATTGATTTTTCATTTAGAATAAAATAAGAAATTAAAGAGATTTAAATTAAAATAAATTAGGATTTGATGAAAATCTTTAACTGAAATAACTACATACTAGAATTCTATATATAGAGCTTTTATATATATTGTAAAAACACATTGTTTTATGTAACAAATAATTTCTTATTCTAAGAAATCAATTTTGATTGGATGATTTTCTGTTTCATATACTGTATATGGCTTACACTTTTAATTTATTTTAAGTATTAGATAAAGGTTATATTTAAAAATAAATATCTGTTGTAGGACAACTTTATTTAAAATTGTATCAATATTAATATTTTAGTAAAAAATAAATGATCAATTATCCGTCATATTTTTTTTATGTTTCAATATTTTATATTACAGATGACTAATGATTGAATAATGTATTATCTTAATAATGTTGCACTTAAGTTACATGTTACATGCTAAGTACAATTACATGTAAAGATAAAATTATAAATTAATTTATTTAGGCCTAAGTATTTTTCCTACATTTCCTACATGCTTATATTTTTAATTATACATAAGTGCAATGTGCAATACAGTCGACCCCCCTATAAGATAGAGATACGTTCCATTCTCTAGGAATCCGCTTTCTTACGAATCCTTCCAATCACAACCCGACACGTATCAAGTTTACGGACTACGGCTGTTTGAAAGGTTTTCTTCCATAAAATTAATCGATTCTAGACTAATCCGACTCAACATTTCCAAAATACGTATATATTTTTTGGGAATAATCCGTATAAACTACGCTATAAACAAAAAATTGTAGGATTACTTACCGAGTGTCACCATTCGACATTG